TATAGAAGTTATTATTAAAAATCCTCATTAAATTTGGAAATTATATTTAGATTATGTGGAAAAAATATATTTATATAAATATGTATATATTTATAAAGTAGTTTCCAGCCTGTGTGTTGTTGCTCTTTGCCTAGGGAGGCTTTGAAGCCCTGTGTTCTGGTCCATTATTAATGGATCAGCAAAAAAGAGGAAGACTCTCAGTGAGATGGATTGGCACAGTGGAGCAACAATGAACTCAAGCATGGCAGTGATTGTGAGGATGGCACAGGACTGGGCGCTATTTCATTATTCTATTTTGTGGTCCATAGGGTTGCTCCTTGGAAGGAAGGTTGGGCAATCCTACTTCTGTAATGATACTGCCTCGGAAACCCAAGGAGGGGTCGCTATGAGTCGGGAGCGACTCGACGGCAAATGACAACAACAATAACAGGGTTGCTAGGAGTCAGAACCGACTCAACAGCACCTAACTACAACAACATTGATGGTGCAAATGGTTAACACATTTGGCTTTCGAAGGTTGGAAGTTTGAGTCTATCCAGAGGCATCTTGGAAGAAAGGCTTGGTGATTTACTTTTGAAAAATCAGCCTTTGAAAAGCCTATGGAGCACAGTTCTACTCTGACACATATGAAGTCACTGTGCGTCAAAAAGTCAACTCAGCTGCAACTGGTTGGTTAGTTTGATGATGGCTCAATGTATGGCGGGAGGCTCAGACAAGGGAAATTCAAGAGCTAGCACCCAGGAGGCGGGTATTGGGGCCCTCGACTTACAGGGGTGGAGGTGTAAATCCCTCTTGGGCAGAAAACTGACCATATGCTTTTGTATTCTGCCTTGTTGACCTGAACTTGGAATCCTGCTTTCTGTTCACTGAAAGATACTTTCTGTTCCTTGGCAAAAGGAAGACTGTTGAAAGGGGCCATGAAATTAGGAGGAGAAATGGTAGTTGGGGAAGAGGGGGCAGGTCTGATGAAGCTGCCCAGGGCTGGGGTGGTGAGTTGGACTGTGCTGCTCTTCCAAGCTCTTCCTTAGGGAAAATGAGGAGAAGGTGGAAGCAGTTTATAAAATGAAGGCTGGCACATCCTAATGAGGTACAGCACAGCAGCACTTAAAATTTTATTGTGTTTGGAACAACTAGAACGGAATTAATAAGAAGGTTGACACATTGTGAAAAATATAACCAGTGTAACTGAATAATTTTTCATGAGAACCTAATATACTGTGTAAACTGTCACTGAAAATATAATAAAATTTTAAGTGCTGCTGTGCT